ATATATTGATGCTGGAGTACCTTACATTTAGTTAAAAAAGGGAATAAAGGGATTTTATCACTTCAATATATTGAAATGGGTGTCAGCGAGTCACCGAGCAAATATGACATTCAAGACAAACCAGACCCATTCCAAATAAAAAGTTTAAAATTGAATAGTCGACTAAGCAAATATGTGCCTGTCATTGTATTCGAAGCTACTTATTTCCGGTATAAGTAGGCTTTAGTACTATAAGCAATTCGTGAATAAGAACTTAGTCACACAAGGTCGGAATGGCAAACACATGATTGCATAAGTGAAAATTCTACTACAAAATTGTGCATTGGGAGGCCAGATTTTCCTTAAATCCCCGCTACCCTCTGACATACTGGCACCTTCGGCTGTGTATTGGAGTGGTAAACGTCGCTACAATACTCTTGACCCGGTGTCGAATGCCGTTGAGACCTAGATGACGCCACAATTTCAGTCAATCATGGATAAGTTACTCTTTTGGGAGGCAAGGCTAAATGGAGTTCGATAGTACCGTAAAACTTACTTATCTCATTATGGGAAAAACGCAACTATCAGTCCTTTAGACACCTAGGGTGACTTAGTTTTTGGTTAAATGATTTCGAGACACCCCAAAGTCAAATAATCTGCAACAAACAATAGCCTTGAATATTATTACTAAGAAAAGATTCAGCATAATAAAGTGTAATTAATCTACCTGATATATAGCAAATATGCATATTGTAAATAAGAGTACTAACTAACGAGACATATTTCCACTACTTAAAAGATATTCACAAGATTGCGGAGACTAATTCATAATTATATGCGACCTAAAATTAATCTAGTTCTAATCAAATATCTAATGGTAGTATCAAAAGATGCACAATAAGAATGTAAATGATAAAAACAAGCTCAGAGTGATTTAAAAGAACTCAATATCAATTATGTCCTTGAGGCCAGCATTAATAATTTGAAAAACACTGTCCTGAAAGGCCCAATAAAAAAACATTGTAAAAATGATCTTTGCAATAAGATCAAATTTACAATTCTGACTAATATTTCATATTAAATCAGTATATTAACTTTTAAATTGCAGGTGGACAAGAAAACTTAATGTGGAAAGACTATAGGAGTATTAAATTACCTGTAAATCTCGAGTGCCACCAGTGACAGAAATCAAGGCAATATTGGATAGCGATGGTTCTTGGCCTCTGGCTCGATGAATAAGCATATCATGCACTCTAAGATATATTTCATCCATGTATGACCCAGGAGAGAAGACTAAAAAATAAAAAGTGAAAAGTCTATATGGTCAAGCATGTTAGCCTGAATAAAATCACCGTAACTTGGCCACGCTGTTCATTTAAATAATTATTTCCTTAAACAACAAAGTAAGAGCACCAAAATCTAAAGTAAGCAATTCATGAAAATAAGCAGACTAATAAAGACAAGTATGAGCTTTGCGGTCCAATTAAAAAAGATTGATGGGATAGCTACAATAAAAGGAAAAAAAAGATCACTAAATAAATATAATTAATACTGGCATCCCTTTCATTTGAGAAGGCGAGTGAAAGAGATTTCTAAATTGGCCTCACCGTATACCGAAGGAGAGTTGCTTTGGACTTTTGTCTGTTGAATTGTGCAAAAAAGATCTCGGCCCAACGACTTAAGAGGAATTCCAAGATTTGGTTAGTTGCCTCATGCTTTTCCTACACTTATGTAAGCGAGTGAAAGTGATGCAGGAAGAAGTGAGGATGTAGTCACAACTTTTGTCTACGTAAATGGACTAGCGTATGATCTTGTAACCCTAGAGCTTGTTTTAGCTTCGTGCCTATTGTGTGTATGCAACATTCACGAGTTGGTTAGCAATTTTAGGTCCGGAACCAAACTCCAGCTTATTTAAGTCTTCTCCTCTCACTAAGTGACTCTGTTCCTTTTTCTTCTCTCTCTCTTTCTCACTAATTCTATTCAACAGCCAGAAAGTTTCCTACTCATGCTCGTCTTATTCAGGATATTCTTTGTTATGTTAATTTCAACCGATTCCCTAATCTTCTGCTTAGTCGTGAGGTCCTCATATTCAGAAAACGCTGTGATTTAGACAACTATATCTGGTGTCCTGTAGTGATTACATGTCCGGACACCTCCGATTTATGAATCTATAAACTTTTAAGGCGATTTTGTGTTCCGATAACCTCTTATGTATAGGTCGACAAGGCCCCACCCCACATAAAGACTACGATATGAACAGGAAACCTTATAATAACCTAATCTGCAGAGGGCGGCTGAGGATTCTCTAAAATAAAGCATAACCAAGGAAAATGTCAGTATTTCTTTATATATGGTCCTGAAGTTCCACTTTCTCAGTAATTTACCCTTGTTGAAACTGGCAGGATTGTTGCATTATGAATCTGTATTGTTGAGATTTTCATTTCGTATGAAAATGTATGAAGAAGAGATGCGAAAGTCGATCTCATCAGAAGAGGACGGTTGAATACCGTTGTACTGCAGCCGTTTGACTTTTATACGACTTTGAGACTGATGCAATCCATGAGACTTCCCTCTCTCTCTTCCTCATACACTTTCATACGAAGTAAAAATCCCAACAATAATGTTATCTTAGGATATTCATCGAAGCCAAGTTACTATTCATTAGGGATATGGACGAAGAGTTATCTAATGTTTTAACAATAAATTCTAACGGATAATTGTTCTCATCTAAGATTTTTCTTGGCCATTTTTACTCCTGATCGTGACGATTTCTCTCCGTTAGACGTAAACCCCTTATTATCATTGATTTAATCAATCCTCCTAATTAGCAAAACAAAAAGCATCCAGAATAAGAGAAATAAGTGTATGAAACTAGACAAGAACTGTTTCTGGCTGCCGAATAAAATCAGAGAGAGAAAAGGGAACTAGAAAATCCATTAACCAAGAGAAGACTTGACTAAACTGGAGTCTGGTTTCGGACCTAAAATTTCTAACCAACGCGTGAGTATTGAATGCACACAACACACACCCACCCCCGGAGCTAAAACAAGCCCAAGCATCAGAGGATCAAACACTAGTTTATTTACATAGACAAAAGTGGTGACCACATCCACTCCCCTTCCTGCGCCACTTTCACTTTCTTACATACATATAGGAGAAGCGTGAAGCCGACCAAATCCTGGAATGCCTTATTAGGACCGCAAAGTAAGGTATATGAAGTAAGTAGGATCTCAACCGACCAGCCTTCTTGCGACGATGTTCGTCGCATGATGAACGAAGGCTAGGCACAGAGTCTTTGAGTATTCTTCGCATAAATCAACATAAAAAAGTCCAAGGCAACCCTCAGTAGGTATCAGGTGAAGCCAATTTATGAATCCCTTGAAACCTGCTTTATCAAACGTAAGCTAAGCCAGTATTAATATAATAAGGGATTCTTCAGAACCCAGCTTGTCTTAATAAATAAAATTAAATTAGCGCATAATAATAGGTAATACAGTATACGTCATATAAAGATTTAAACAACTGGCCGCTTCTATTAGACGTTAAGAATTAATAATAAAAAGTTCCCATTTTTTTTCATAAACCGAATTTATTAGGAATTTTTAGCTCGCTCGGACTAGGAAATAAGTCTTTTAAATTTTCATCGCAAAGTAATAAAATAAGTGCAAATATGATAACTAGCGTCTCGTTACCAACTAATTGGAAGAGTAAACTGCTAAACAGGCTGACATGACCTAGTGTATTGGGAAATTTACTCCGAAAGAATGACAAGCTTCCTGAACGATGTCATTGAATTCATCCTTTTATTCGACACTGGGTTAGGGCAGCTCTTAATGAATATTGAAGGTGTAAAGCAACCAGAGGGGAAATAAATACACCTGTAGGTAATACTCTTTTATATCAAACGACATGCTTGCTGAAGGCGTTTAAAGATTAAGTAGAACCATCTAATTAGAACAAACAAAGTTCAAAAGTTAGAGAAAGTTATAATCATAATATTCATAGATAGAGTAAGAGCATAGACTTAATTATGGGAAGATTTAAAAAATCAAAGTTTTTTCCGTATCAGGACATTAACAAGATCAACACAACACAGAAGCCAAGTACTCAAGTAGTGCTAATTGCTTAGAAAAAGTTAAGTTATGACAAGTTCTGCATTTTTTAAAAATAATTAGGCAATATTGTAAATATTAAGGTATTTTAACAGAATGACGGTTCAACGAAACATTAAGTAATACTAATTCAAATAGCATTCTGGGTTAAGAAATATATAATGGCCACACTTCGGGTGTGAGTGCCAAGGAGCATTAATATTTATTTTGGAGGTATTTCTATATAATAAAAGTTGTATGATAAATATGAACTGACCAGGTAACAGAACGGGAGTGGATAGGAGTATCAAGGTGTTGATCTTAGGTCGATGTTCTTCACTTATCGCCAACAGATTTAGCGGAACCATGCCACCCTTTGTTAAGTAAAAAAGGATATAATAGAAATATATAGACATGCAGTAAGAAAAAAAAATTAAGGTTACCATCGAATGTGCAACAATCAAAACTGAATTGGGAGGCGACGGATGAGACACATAAAGTGATAGAATCTTTGTGATAGCTAAACCAAGGTATTCGGATTGCGCTTCAATCAATTTTCCCGAAAATGCAGTTGGATCCTAAAAAGTGTAAATAAACTTTGTAAACAGTGAGATTAAAATGAAAATTAGTGTGTACTTACATCACCGGTATCCATAGTATAATAGTCAAAATGAAAAGGGGTATGACGAGATGCAGCCAATCGAAGGGCAACGGACGAAAGCGATCTAACTGTTTTGTAATCTCCCAGATTCCCAGGGATGAAAAGGATTGGAATTCCTTCATATCTAGAAATATTAAGCTACCAGGAACTAATTACCGAGCATAGGCTGTAAAACTAAATAGTCATTAAGAATAAATTATAAATACCCCTCATCGTAGCGGTAAATTCTGTAATTATGAAATTTCCTTTCAACAATTTTTGGAAGTTGTATTTTCTAAAGGCATATCCAAAGCATGTACAAACCTTAAAAACAGGTAGTTCGAACATATAAGTCATTGCACAGCGATTAACTTCAGTATCAAAAATGAGTTCGAACAATCCCCACATTATAGATAAAGTAATAAACAAGTATAAAGGTAATACAAGAAGTCTGAAAGCCATGTGTTTGAGGTATTGAGGGTAGACAATCAAAGCGCTCTGAGACGCCAACAATAAAC